CTGTTGTCGAGTTTCGGAGACTTGGCAGGAAGCCAGCTCCAAACTTGTACAGCACATAGTGCTTACCTTGGCGGGTTTGTGGCAGTGTGATGTAAATCAACCTGCCAAGCCTATCCATATCTATATTTGATCCATCTCCCACCATACCACAGAGGCTTCACTCTCTTAGCCTGCTTGATTGCAGGGCATGTGTCACAATTGTGGATAACCTGGGAGATAGTGTCCATGGTGAAATCCACCCTTTGGTCTCGTGCCCACCTATAGGTGACATCTCTTCCCTGATGACCTGAAGCATCATGGGACCATCGAGCTAGGAACAACTCTCCCTTCTCCTGCCAATCAAGGTCTAAATGTGACACTTTGACTTGGACAGCTAGGTCTTCCTGTTCGTTGTTGCGATGTTCCTCGTTTGCTCGGCTTTTGAGCATGTGTGCATCTACATGGTGGACTCTCTACCCAGGCTGTGATGTCTTGCCACATTTCAGAAGTCCAGATGGGTTTTTCTTTGTGTTGCCAATTGGCCTTCTTCCATCTGTCTAGCCATCCCCACAGAGCATTGGCCACCATCCATGAGTAAGTGTAGAGGTAAAGCCTTGGCCTCTTCTCTTGTTTGGCAATGTCCAAGGCCAGTTGGATAGCTCTGGGCTCTGCAAATTGAGTTGATCCACCTTGTCCTTCAGTGGCTTCTGCGACCTGTCTTGTTGGACTCCATACAACGGCTTTCCATTTCCGGTTCATCCCTACAATGTGACAGGAACCGTCAGTGAAAAGAGCAAAACATTCTTTGTGCTCTGGTAGTTGGTTGTATGGTGGAGCTTCCTCAGCACATACCACCAGTTCTCCTTCCTCTGCCAGACCTAAGTTCTCACCTTCAGGCCAATGTGTGATTATCTCCAAGATAATCCTGGATGTGGTGGTTTGAAAAAGGCTTTTCCCCAGGAGGTATTGTTTTTCATACTGGACCAATTAACAACTTTGTGGTTCTTGCGGAAATGACATGCTCACAGAAACGGAAGAGAAGAGGTTAATTTTTAACTGCGTGGCTAGAAGCAGCAGCAGCCATGCTCTAAATGCGCCAGGTGTGGCGCAGGGCCGAGGGGGCCTCTGCCCCCCCCCCCCCTCCTGCCGGCTGGGCCAGGAGCAGCCAGCCATGCAGTGGAGCCCCCCCTGAAGCCGGTGACCGAGGAGGACCCCGAAAGATCGGGAAAGGCCCCCGGGTCGCATTTTTTCCCCTCACAGTGGCGGGGGAAGAAAACAGCAACAGTGTCCAGCCGACCAACTAGAGAGCTGCAAGCGGTGGACACACAGCACTGGAACGGAGCCAGTGTGAGTCAAGGGGTGACGAGAGAGAGCTAAACTGAGAGAGAGCCCTGACCTTTGGAAAAGCAGCTACAACATTCAGTCATGTAAGTGCCAAGGGGAGACTTTCCCCAAGCGGGGGGGGAAGTCTCTGGGCCCCCGCTGTCCTAGTCCAGCTAAGACTATGAGAGTTAAAACTCCCCAGGAGTTTTCCAGTCAACTTCGCAGCATTTTCCTACCGTGGAGAGGAGGAGTGTTAATCTCCAAAGAAGCCCCCCCCAAAAGCTCGGGCTCGGGGGGGCTGGGATTTTCACAAAGTAAGAGCAGGGGATAGAGACTTTACCGAGAAGTGGGAGTCGACTCCCCCACACCCCTTAAAAAAAGAAGAATTCTAGCTGCAATAAATTAAAGCTGTTGCCTTAAAAAGATAAGAGACACTTAACAGTGCCACAGAAAATTAATTTGGAAGAACTGTAGCTTGAAAGTGAAAAAGGGCTTCTTTTTTTCTGGACTCTTTTTGAAAGAAAGGAGGGACCTAATCTAATGTAATATATTACTTTACTATAGAAGAGATAGTTAAGTTGTTACATGTATATATATGTGTATAATAAAATTGTAAATATTTCCCCTCCCCCTATATCAAGTTGTGTGTGTGTCTGAAAACTACTTCCCTCTCACATTAGAACAAATTGTAACAAACCTTTTAAATTAGCTTTTTTAAAATTCCTGTGTTTTTCAAACCACCACACAGGGTGATTAGGGTTTCCTATTCATGTGTGCTGTGTGATCAAGGCAATCCACTTACTCCATGTTGCGCCGGTGGCATGATGCATGGAAGGAACCTTTCCTTTGAACATCCACCCCAGCACTTGTAGTTGGGGTGCCAGGAGAAGCTGTGCTTCCGTGCCGATCACCTCTGAGGTGGCTTGAACCCCTTCACAGGCTGCTAGAATCTCCTTCTGTGTTGGGGTGTAGTTGGCCCCAGACCCTCGGTAGCCTTGGATCCAGAATCCAAGTGGTCGACTTCGAGTCTCCCCAGGCACCTTCTGCCAGAAGCTCCAGGAAGGACCATTATTCCCAGCTGAAGAGTAGAGCATGTTCTTCATCTCTGGTCCTGTCCTGACTGGGCCAAGGGCTACAGAGTGGACAATCTCCTATTTGATCTGGTCAAAGACTTGTTGCTGTTCAGGGCCTCAGTGGAAATTGTTCTTCTTGCAGGTTAGCCAGTAGAGAGGGCTTATGATTTGGCTGTATTTTGGGATGTGCCTCCTCCAGAAACCTATGGCACCTAGGAAAGCTTGCATTTCCTTCTTGCTGGTCAGTGGAGACATTGCTGTAATCTTGCTGATTACCTCTGTTGGGATCTGGCATCATCTGTCTTGCCACTTCACTCCCAGGAACTGGAGCTCTCAGGCAGGTCCCTTGACTTTACTCCTTTTGATGGTAAACCTGGTTTTCAGGAGAATCTGGATGATCTCTCCTTTCTCAAAGACTTCTTCTGCTGTGTCCCCCCATACGATGATGTCATCAATGTACTGCAGGTGTCCTGGGGCTTCACCCTTCTCTAGTGCAGCCTGCATCAGTCCATGAGAGATGGTGGGACTGTGTTTCCACCCCTGGGGCAGTCAGTTCCAGGTGTATTGCACACCCCTCCAGGTGAAGTCAAACTGTGGCCTACACTGCCGCTAAGGGAATGGAGAAAAATGCATTTGCAATGTCAGTGGTGGCATACCACTGGGACTCCAGTTCATACTGAATCTCCAGCATGTCTGGCACAGCGGCACTCAGTGATGGGGCAATTCATTCAAGCCACGACAGTCCACTGTAATCTCCATTCTCTGTTGGACCTACGCATGGGCCAAATGGGGCTGTTGAAGGGTGAGTGGGTCTTGCTGACCACTCCTTGGCTCTCCAGTTTACGAATCATCTTGTGAATGGGAATCACAGAGTCTCAATTTGTTCGGTACTGCCAGCAGGAATATATGCAAAAAAACCAGGAATAAGTCGAACAACATGATGCCTGAGGGGTTCTATATCCAATGCACAAATGGATTACTCAAAACTGTTATTCTGTTTCTACTTTTCCTCTTGTGCCCCATGTTGGGAAAAGCCAAATTATTGTCTTGGTTTAAAGACAATGTGTACCAGGAGGCGGGACCTCTGATGGAATAGAAACTCCTTCCTCCAATTATTGAAAAATTTAAAATTATGAAATGTTCGAATAAAGTGTAGAAACGGATAACAGCTTTAGTAAGAACAGAGGACAAAACAAAACAAAACAACCAAACAATAACAGAGAAAATGTCATCCAAAAATTACTATTTCTCCTCCATGCTGCTGAGGTGACAATGCAGTCCTGGAGCAGTCACGTGATCACAATGGAGCCGGGGCAGAGCTGCTACTGTGCCGGGCGGGTGACATGTGAAGAAGTTCACAAATGGCAGCTCTCCCCCTGAGTTCTCCCAATGCCACTGCAACGGTGGTGGTGGCCCTGCTGGCAGTCAAAAAGCAGCAGAAAGAGGAGGGGAATCATGCAGGTCAGGTGGCCGGCAGCGAGTCAGAGCAGCAGGGAGCCATGCGGAGCAGGTGGCAGTGGTGAATCAGAGTGCCGGGGAGCCGAGTGGGGCGGGCTCTGGGCAAAGATAGCGCGGGTCCAGCCAGCACTGCACAGCAGCAAGGCGGCGGTCAAAAAGCGGCAGAAGCGATGGCTGTGATTGGAGTGGCCGTAGGAACGGTGGGAGCGGAGGCTTCCCGGGTCCTGACTCAGGACAAAGAGAGGGCATTCCTGTCCTGACAGCCCGTCTTATCCCCTCCAAACTCCTGCAGGACCTCCCACAAAGAACCCTATCTCCCCTCACTCCCCCCAGATATCGCGGGACCCCTCATTCCTTAGATCCTGTCTCAGTTCTCACAGGAACCTCCATCTACTCTCACTTCCTCCTCCCCATCCTTATGCGACTGGCACCCCGG